TACACTGCTGAGGGGAACAGCAGGCAGGTCAGGAGAGGTCTGTTGACCATGTAGTCACCTCCAGGGCTGGGGGTCGAACTCGCACTGAAGCGGCTGTGGCTGGCTTGCAGTGCTGCGTCCTAACCTTTGCGCCACCAGGGAGGGCCCAGGGTTCTTTTTTTTTTTTTAAAGATTTATTTATTTATTCGTACAGAATTGGGATACAGACCAGAGATGCGGAGGGTGAGAGGATTCACCAGGGATAGAGTGGGGAGCAGAACAGGCAGATCGACGAAGTACACTGCTGAGGGGAGCAGTGGGCGGGTCAGGAGAGGTCTGCCGCGCCATGTGGATCTCCTCCGGGGCAGGCTGGAATCGAACTCATGCGGAAGTGGCTTTTTAAGCTTCTTTGTGCTGTGCTTTAACCCTCTGCGCCACCAGGGAGGGCCCACCAGGGTTCTTTTTTTAACGTGAAATATTTTTAATAGAAATGAGTGTTCAGAGAGAAGAGGACTTTCTTAGCAATAATTTCCCAGTAAAAATCCCAAATTCCCCATCTGCTCATGGGTTAGTGGCCAGCCTGAAGTGGGACCACAAATCGAAGGTACCTGCTGGCAGGGAACTACAAGAAAGGCAGGTTTAGGCAGGTTCCAGACAACTGGAGGAGAGAGAGAGAAAAAGCAAATCTAGCACAAGGACATAAAAGCTGCCAGTATCTCTCTCTGCCCAGGAGCCGCAGCTCTCCATGTTTCTCTCCCCCACTGTGTCTCTTCCACACCAGAGTATGAGTCGGACCCCAGACAAGAGCCCCCAGGACTCTTGTTGAGGTCGGCTGGGGGTGATCAGACATCCCTTGCGGGAAGGTAGAGAAGAACCCAGTTAGATATTGAGAAGGGTCAGATATCGAGGGAGGAGGATTCTGGCAACAACTTAGCAGTATTCTTGCCTATACCCAAGAAAGAAAGACAAACTCAGAAGCCCAAAAGTCAGAGCTTGTTGAAAAATTCAGGAGTTAGAGAGTCTTTGTCAGCATCAAGAATCTGAGGCTCAGTTTCCTTATCTGCAAAATGGGTCATCGTGAGGAACCCTCACAGTATCGGTTCCCAGAAGCTGCCTCTTACATGGACAAAGTCCCCTAGGCCCTGATTTCCCTGTGTCACCTGGGGTTATACTAGCCTGTGAAGTGACTATCTCCCAGAGACCAAATCAGCAGCTGTGTGATCTAAGCCACCTCAGGCACAGGGGATGGTGTTCGTCCCGCCTGCCCGTGCTAATGTCTGGCTGTGAAGGCCATTCATACAAAGCTGTTGAGATTGGGAAGCTTCTCAGTAATGAGCCCTTTTCTTCCCAGCCATTATTAGCAGGACAGTGGAGGCCCAGCATTATGGGGAGAGCTGAGAACGACGGTGCCAGCCCCTCCTTCAGCCCCCACTCCAGCAGTGGCCCGCTCAGCAATAGGCCAGACGAGGGCTGCTGTGTCCTGTGACGACAGCACACTCGTGAGAGCGAGGAAGAGGCATGGGGATACTGAGGGCGGTTGGTTTTGCTTCCCACCACCTTGCCCACCACCCTGCATTCTGCAAACTGCTTCTTCTCGAAATCATACAGGGTCGTTAAACCCATGTTGCCTCAGTAATCATTAAAAACAAAAAGCCCTCAGGAAATCCAAGAAGTTCATGTGCCCCCAGGACCAGGTCCGTCAGGCGTGGCCTTCAGGGAGCTGAGCATTAGGTCAGCCCTGGACCTACGGGAGGGGACTCCTCCTGTAGGGCTGCCTACTACAGGCCAGGGGACTCCTGCATGTTGCCCCTCTGTGGCCTGTACCAGTCTCCACTGGCCCAGCCCCAGATGACGCAGAGACTGGGTCATCCAGGTCCAAGGGGCTTCCTCCTGTAGTATCCTGGCTCCCTTGCCCTGGGGATTCCAGGTCCAAGAGCCTTCCTCCTTGTCCATAAAACCAACTTCTTGGGGTTCCTCCCAGCCTGAAGGCCACGCCTGATGGCCCTGGTCCTGGGGGCACATGAACTTCTTGGATTTCCTGAGGGCTTTTTGTTTTTTAATGATTACTGAGGCAACATGGGTTTAACGACCCTGTATGATTTCAAGGCATATGGTCTACATCTGATGTTGTTACCACACCGCACCTACCTACCACCCAACACCCACAGTTCTCCACCAGAGTCCCCTGTTCTCCCTCCGAATGTGCTCTTGCCCGACTCTGACCCCCACCACACCCTACCTCGGTTCTACAGTCAGCTTTCTAGAGTTAGCCTTTATCTGATCGTTTAGTTTCTCTATGTTCCATAAGTGACACTCAGTATTTGTCTTTCTCCTTCTGACTTACGTCGCTTAGCGTAATCCCCCATAGCAGAGGGCCACTGCTATGGTCTATATACAGCCCCGGCCAGCAGCCCATGAAACATTGTTCAGGGCACCTCCTGTTGGCTCTCTGGTTCTCAGCAGAGCCCACATTAGGGCTTCTGACCTTCTGTGACTAGTGTGGAGGGACTCTGGGAGCTGTCACATTTCCAGGGGAAATCGGAGGCTGAAGGGGAAGACACTTTTCTACATCACCTCCATCCACGTCATCTCAGTGGCCCACTCCATGGCATCTGTTTCTGGCCGCACACTGCTGTGGCTCAAACCCACATGGTGGGCAGCTTGTTGGCAGGGACCTGGGGTGGCGGGCGCTCGACTGATGTGCCAGTGCAGACACTAGCACAGCGACAGGGAGCAAGTGACCCTGTACCTAGGAGTGTCCGTGGAGCACGGCCCTGGCGTCCAGCAGACAGTTATCTCATTGGATTCACCTCTTCGGCAGGTGACCAGAAAGACCCTTCTCCTCCACTTGACAGGTGAGAAACTGAGGTGCTGAGGTGTGGCATAGGGCAACATCTAGAAAAGCCTGTTGATACTGCTTACAGTGTTCAGCATCTTAGCGACTTCCTCCTTCTCTGTATCACATGACATGAAAGATCTGGAGACGATCACTTGAAGGAGTTATTACCTCAGAGAGTTGGTTTTATGGACAAGAAGGAAAAGGTTTGTTCCGCACTGTGACCTAGAGCAAAACAAGGAGGTATGGAACATTCCTTAGCTAATCCGAGGACATTTCCTAGAAGCCCTGTCTCTCAAGGGAAATCTCAGAGGCCCCAGCAGTGTGCGCCTCCTGCCCTCTGCCCCTGGCTCCTCTGGGAGGAGAGTACTGGGCTGTGGAAGGGACCTGTTCCTGCTTGGTGACCTAGAGAGCTGTCAGCCTCCTAGTCAAGGGAAGCAGACACCCTGCGGTGTCCCTAGAGCCCTGCAAGAAGACTCTCTTCTATCTCATATTACTAAGGAGAGCCCTCTGACGGTTGCAACAACTGCCAAGGGGTGGGCATGCCAGGCTGGAGTGCTGTGTGCCAAGGGGGAGGAGGGATGAGGCACACGGACCCGGGACACAGCCCACCTGACTTCACGCCCTGGCTCCAACTCTCCCCAGCTGTGTGACCTTGGACAAATCACCCAACCTCTCTAAGCTTTGTTCTCCTTACCTCTAAAATGAGTATGATAGTACTGCTCAACCTATATGGCTGTGAAGAGGTTTAAAAAACAAAGAGCTGGCTCTCCCTGGTAGCGCAGCGGGTTAAAGCACAGCACTGAGAAGCTAAAGCCACTTCCGCATGAGTTCGATTCCCGCCTGCCCGGAAGGTGACCACATGGCGTGGCAGACCTCTCCTGACCCGCCCGCTGCTCCCCTCAGCAGTGTACTTCGTTGATCTGCCTGTTCTGCTCCCCACTCTCTCTGGTGAAGCCTCTCACCACCCCTGAGCCTCTGGCCTGTACCCCAGTTCTGTATGCACAAATAAATAAATCTTTAAAAAAAAAAAAAAAAAGAGCTTAGCCCTCCCTGGTGGCGCAACGATGCAGCACTGCAAACTGACCACAGCCACTTCAGTGCAAGTTTGATCCCAGCACGAGTTCGATCCCCGGCCAAGAAGGTGACCCACATGGCACAGCAGACCTCTTCTGACCCACCCGCTGCTCCCCTCAGCAGTGTACTTCATCAGTCTGCCTGTTCTACTCCCTACTCTGTCTCTGGTGAATTCTCTCACCCCTCCTGGCCACCTCTGGCCAGTTCCCCAGTTCTTGTATACATAAATAAGTAAATCTTTAAAAACAAAACAAAAGAGCTTATGTCAACAAGCACCATCAAGAACAAAACTTGACCTGGCATAGATCTTGAAGGCTCAAATCCCTGCCAGCTCCCTTTATAGGGAATATCTTGGACTGGCAGACTGGGGAGAAGAGGCCACTGGGAAGTCCCATAGGTGCTGAATCACCTGCACCTATGAGCAGGCCTTTAGATGTGAGGCCTTTAGCGTTGCTTTTTCCTCTCCCGCCAACCCCCAGCCCAGATGGGCAGCAAACCAGGGCCCCAGCTCTGCTGCTTCCTGGCTGAGTGGCAGTCTTTTCTGAGCCTCAGTTTCCTCATCTCTGCAATGGGCGGAGGAGCATGTGGGTTGCTCTCCCACGGCTGTGGGGAGACTCCCACATGGAGTCTTGATACGAGGGCTGTCCTGAGCCAGTGGTCTCCACTCTGCTCTCTCTGTGACCTTTTGTACCCAACGTCTCTCATTCTGTGTAATGTTTGTGAGGTTCATCTCCTGAGGTTCATCTCCCCTGGAGCATGGTTGAAGTTTCGTTCCTTTTCGTGCTGAATAAGATTCCATTGTTTGACTTTCTCACACTGCATCATCCGCTGGTGACTCAGTCTGGCTCTTGGGCATCATGCTGCCCCATATACATTTGCACACAAGTGTCTGAGTACCTGTTTGCATTTCTTTCCCTTATCCGCAGGAGAGGAATTGCCAGGATAAATGCCTAACATGCTTTCCTGCAGGTGCTTGTAATGCTCCGTGGGCCACCATGAACGATGGGAGCCCTTCCCCACCTGTGCTCTGGCCTCTTGGGCAGAAAAGTGTCAGCATCGCCTCTGCCTGCTTGGCTGCCAGCCCCTAACCTGTCCTCTCTCCCCACAGATGTGCCCGTGGAGAAGCTGGCCACCATGCCCGCCTTACGCAGCGTCAACCTCCGCTTCAACCCGTTGAGCGCCGAGGTGCGCGTCATTGCTCCCCCGCTTATCAAGTTTGACATGCTCATGTCTCCGGAGGGTGCACGGCCCCCCCCACCGTAGGCCTGCCTCCTCATGCCCACCCAGCAAAGGACAGAGGCCACTGGCCTGGCATCTTGAGGGAAGGGACTCCCACAGGCCCATAGGAGGCCAAGCTTGGGGTGTGGGGGTGGGTGGGCCAAACAGCTGGATGTAGGAAGGGGTGCAGCTGGCACAGAATAGACGCTTAGAGCAGTAGTGGGCATGCAGTCCCCAGAGGGAGGAGGCGAGGTGCCAGCTGGGGCCTAGACTGGGCCCTCACAGCTTCTGTGCAAACTTGGGCAAATCTCCACTGTCTTGTCTCTTGGGGCAAAGGGGAGTGAGGGTCCTTTGCCTCTGCTGGGCTATTGGATGCTTTCTGGCGATACTTGCCTCCACATCACCATCACGTCACGGGCCGTGCCGAGCCCACGGAAGAGCCCCGCGGAGCATTTTCCGGGCCTTGTTTGTAGTGCTGAGAACCAGTTGCTGCTCTAGGAGGAAGAAAAGACATCCCCATCCATCTATTTTTCGCATCCTGAAACTGACCCAGATGAGGCCCTTCATGGGGCCCCTCCTCCGTCCTGAGGTTGCTGAATGGCAGGAGCTTGAACCAGAGTCATGGAGAACCACAAGAACATGGCTTCCAACCTCACTGCCCCAGGGCTGGAAGTGTCTGTGTGGGAGCTAGACGCCCCTCAGCTGGGGGCCCTAAGAGCACGTCCAGCCAGCTGCGTCCTTTCCTGGGCATGGAGTGGGTTGGGTTGGCAGTTCTGCGATACCACCCCTCCCTCAGGAGCAACTGGGAGTGCCTGGCTCAGTGCTTGAGCTGAGAAGGGCCCTTCTTGAAGCCTTTGGCACTGTGGATCTGCTCCAAGGTAACTAGACGGCCGCTCCCACCACGCCTTCCTTTGGCAGCGCCCAACCGCCCCGTCGGTGCTTCACCCGGCACAGAAGGCATGATGGACCGTGGAGTTCATGGCCACTGCTCCCAGGCCACCACCCAAAGCCCTGATGATGTAGTTATTTCAGAGTCCTCAACCTGGAGTCTGAGGTGTGGCCAGCCAACGGTGTGACCAGCCACCTATTATATGCAGAGGACTGAGGAGATTCCGGGGACATGGGACTTTCAGTACTAATGTGGGGTCAGTATCCAGCAAGCAGGAACAGCTGGTTTCCCTCCCAGGAAAGGGCCAGAGGCTCTTGCATCCTGATAATAACTGTGGTTTGGGGAACCCGTTGGACCCCTTAGGTATCTACCTCCCACTTTCTCCTCATCTATGGGGTCAAGCAGACTCAGAGCTCAGAACATGGCTCTGTGGGAGATACCTGAGGCCCCAGGGCCAGGCCAGGCTTCCCAAATCCTACACTGATTACTGGTGGCCACTCTTCACTCCGAGGGTCAAACTGTTCAGAGCTCAGACCACCACGATGAGCAGTAGCCCTGTCTCCTAATGCTCCCATTTCTTTCTCCCCTCCCCGGCCCTCTGCCTCCTAACAAGGAACTGGAAAGTCGGGCCAGTGTGGCCTGTCACTGAGTGCTGGGTGTCCCAAGGGATGCCTTCTTCACTGCTCATCTCCCAAGGCATGGGTGGGTAAGCTCTGGGAAAGGGTCTTCGGTGAGGAGGTTGAGACTAGGACTTAACTGGACACTGGGAGAAGTGGAGGCTGCAGTCTAAGCTGGCCTAGCCCCATCCAAGAGTGAGGTCTCTCTTTGTCAATAAGGGGTGTGCTTTTCTGAGATACACAAAGGCAATGTATGCCCAGAGTCTTGCAACTCAGGGTGCAGTGGGTGGACCTATGGAGCTTGTTAGAAATGCAGACTCCCGTCTACGGCCATACCATCCTGAACGCGCCCGATCTCGTCTGATCTCGGAAGCTAAGCAGGGTCGGGCCTGGTTAGTACTTGAATGGGAGAAATGCAGATTCCCAGGCCCCAGCCAGACCTGGCTTTTAATAGGATCGCGAGGCAGTTTCCAGTCAGAGAAGCAAGGGTCTAGGGCTGGCGCTAGGAATGTACCCGAGTGGGGGGTGAAGGATCTCTCAGCTGTCTTCCTGCCAATGCCGGGCCTCCAAGTCTGATCTCTGCTCCCCACCCCCACCCAAGCCAGCCCCAGAGACCCTGGGCCTCAGATCTTCTTAGAGTCTGTGTGGCTTCCCCAGCACAGGGAATGAGTGAAGACACTGGGAGCTGAGGCCTGGCCTGGCCACTGGCTTCTGCCTCTCTGGTAACCTCTGCACGCTGAGCTGCCTATGTCTCTGGGTCCTTCCCCCAGGCCCTTTGGATGGGGTTGCTTCTGAAAGTTGTTTTCAACACTGCTTGGAAAGTTTGCCCTAGTGTGGGAAGTCTGAGAAGCCCCCAAATCAGAGCCCATGGTGTAAGTGAGCCCTTAGCTTCCGTCTGTAATAAAAAATATATTGGTTTCCTCTGCCTGCTTGGTGCTGGACTCTTTCTCGCTGCAGGAAGCCAGGGAGAGGAGGGCTGCCCCCTATTTAAAACATGAGATAACAAAAGGCCAACTGGGCTGATACTCATATTCACAGGGGGGCCGGGCCCCAGCTCAGAAGAACCGACGCGTGTCCCTAAGCTGGACAGACGCAGAGCAGCCTGGGAAACCTGTCTGCCTCGAAGGGTGAAGGGGCCTGCTGCCCTTAGTTTTTCCCTTTGAGATGCCAGAAATTATGCTCTTTGTAACTCCTTTCTCAGGACCTGTGGTTCTCAAAGAGGGGTCTCTGGAACAGCAGAATCAGCATCTCCAGGCACTGGGTGGGTGTGCAGACCCTCGGTCCTACCCCATCTGCAGTCTGCAGAACCAGATCCTCCGGTTTGAACAAAACTTCCAGGGGTTCAGACACAAACTGGAAACCTCTTCTGGGTTTAAGATTAAAGTCAGTTTTTGGTTTTAAATCTGAAAGGCCAACCTGCGTTTGCTTGAGCTCTAGACCAGACCAATTCTTTTTCTCGAACAGATGCATACAGAGCTTGTGGGGGCCATGTGATGTCTGCATAACGTCACTGATACTCATTCATTTAATCCCTGGGGTAAGGCCTGGGACTGTGAATTGGTCAGATCCCTTTCCCACTGTAGACCCCATTTTCTGTGTTTAAAGTGGAGGGGCTGCAAGGGGAGAACCCCCAGGGCCTTTCCAGAATGCATGGGGTACTACCCTGATTCTGGAGGCCTTGGCCACCCCACCCCACAGGTCAGGCACAGGACCCAGCTCTCTGTATCCACTGATGTTGAGACGAAGTTGAGAGACTCTCATGGAAATAGGGGTGCACTCCCCTTCATATTATGACAGGTCAGAGTGGAGAGACAGGCACAGTAGTTAGGAAACTTAGCCTGCTTTGGGGAAGCTTTCAGTGCAAGGGAGGAAGCCTTGATTAAGATTGAATAAAACTCATGATATAGTTAGGATTGGACACAAGAGACTATTTTGAGGTGAAGAATCAAGGTATAAATGTTCTGCAGTTGCAGAGTTGAGCAGTTTGAAGTTTCTTTAAATGTTCTTTCAGGAAGCTCCCAGAATGTACAATAATAGGATTTACAACTTTTACTTCCTGGGCAAGTCTCCAGGAACAGTATTATTGTACTAAAGAGGACACTAAAATAAACAAGTCTTTACTAAAAATGGAGCTACCATATGACCCAGCAATTCTACTCCTAGGGATCTACCCAAAGGACACAAAAACATTAATTCAAAAGGATACATGCACCCCTATATTTATTGCAACACCACTTACAATAGGTTAATCCTGGCAACAATCCAAATGCCCAAAACTAGAAGACTGAATCAAGAAGATGTTATACACACATACATACGCAATGGAATACTATGCAGTAATCAAAAAGATAAACTCATGCCATTTGCAGCAACATGGATGAAGCTGGAAGGGATTGTGCTTAGTGAAATAAGTCAGAAGGAAAAAGAAAAATATCAAAAAGTTTCACTTACAGGAAGAATTTAAGAGAACCAAATAAGTCATGGAGGGACAGGGAAGTGTATTGTTATCACAATACAAAACAAAACAAAAACAATTATAAACCAGAGAAAGTCTATGTGGGAGGGGGATAAAAAGGAGGGATCTGAATGAGGGAAGAATGTGGGGACAGTGGTGATGACGGTGGGGGAGAGGGGACGTAAATAGCGTTGTAAAATGAATAATGTAAATAGACATATAAATAAATAAATAAAGTAACCAAGTCTTGATAATGTAGTCAGTGAGCTGTATGGGGCTAAAGATTAAAAAAGAAAAAGTTATTGAGGTATAATTGACATGTAACAGTACTTTCGTTTCGGGTGTTTCACGTCGTGATTCAGTATCTGTATGTGTTGTGGAACGACCACCACGTCAGTCTAATTGGCATCTATTACCAAACATACAGGTTTGATTCTCAGTGTCCCCAAATTACCATGTTGGACCCTGGAGTCCTGCTGTGGAGCTGCTCTTTACGTGAGATGCTCCCGTTCCTTCCCAGAAAGCCAGCTCTGGGAAGCAGGGAGCAGTTACCTGTAGGGGAGCACTGGCAGTCACCCCAGAGCTCCTTGCCAGAGCCCTGGGAGAGGTGCCAAAGCCAAGAAGGCCCTGGGGAAGGCATGACTCGCTGCTGGCAAAAAGGCCTGGGCTGGCTGGGCCAGAAGCAGCCACATGCCATGAACTTCTGTCTCAGGGTCAAGCTGCACGGACTCGTCCCTCAGGAAGGGGCACATGCCGGCTGCTTTATATCCAAGCGAGAGCACTCGTTGAGCTCCTGCTGGTGAGGGGCACTGGGCAGGGACTTGGTGCTTTCTGTTCGTCATCTGTAGGTACCCACTCAAAGACTTGGCCTTGGACAAGGGGTGGGAGAATGGCTAGGAAGGAGCACACTGGGGTTTTGAACTGGGAGGCTGGCTTGGATGGGTTTCACCATCTCAAAGGTTCCTTCCCTCACTCCATACCTGTCATTTTATGTCAGCCTTGCTGCCCTCAATATAGCTGGGTGCTAGCACCACCCTCGCTAGTGCCCACATCACACATGGGCTTATGCCCATCCTGTGTGGGCACAGTCTTTTGGGTCCCGACAAGAGCTCCTCACCTCCTGTGACTTTGAGACACGCCCCCCACGACCCTCTCCCAGTCCCCCCAATAGCCAATACCAAAGTGTGATTGCAGAAGCTAATACCATAGAATGAACATGTGTCAAGATTTTATGGCTCCTGTTAATGAGGGAAGTAGTAAGATAGTGAAAGTGGTTCCCAGCGCCTCTGAAGAGATGATTGCTCTGACTATAACCCTGATCATTGCCCTACCGGGCAATAAAGAGTCAACTTGGGCATTGGCTTCTGTGTTTTTTGTTTTTAATTTTACTGGACACATTCATAAGTTAACATAAGTAATTCTCAGAATCTGTGCCCTTAATTAATGGTAACTAAGAAAACCCAGAGGTAATTCTCCCGGGCAAGCCTGTTAAACGGAGCTTCATAAGTGCAGTTATCAGCTTGGCCTCCTCTCCAGGTTTTGGGTAATATGTCTTAATAACAGAGTCCCCTGGGAGGGTGTTAATATTCCTGGGACCAAGTTTATCATGTGCTATGTGCATCTCTTAAAAGATTGGAGTCCCCAAAGCTTGAGGGAAAGGAAATAACAAGAGGTACAAAAAAGACTTGTGGAGGAAAGGAATGGAAACTAAAGTAAAAATTATATATGTTAACTGGTAACCCCATGTCTGTGACTACGGCAAGTGCTTTCCATTTCTTTTCTCAATGAATCCCCATAGCATACACAGGAGCAGCTGTGTTTATTTTAGTTGCATTGAGGAAGACATGGAGGACTGAGAACACAGAACTTGGCCAAGGTCAGTAGTTGGTAGGCAACCAGGACTGAAGTGCAGGCCTTTTGCCCAGATTCTAAGTCTCTCAGGACTTGTGTTCAGTTCAGAGTCTAGGAAATGGTTTACAGAAAACCCTAAAACTCCAAACAGCTCCCCACTTCTCCCCAGTTGCCTTTAATGCCATCCCAAGGATGTGCTCTTCCTGACCCTGTGGAGACTGACCTGAACCCTTCTTGACCCAGTGCCCACCAGAAGCCTGCAACCTGCCCAGAGTTCAAGACCCCAGCTAGAGACTGGGGTCCCTCAATGTGCCCTGCAGTCCCAGTCCCCATTCAAGACTCCTTAAACCTTGTTCTCCAGAGAAGAAGGTAGACTATCACCATGATAACCTGCTTCTGGTCCCATCCTTTCCCATTTAATGGATGGGAACACTGAGTTGCATGTGACCTGCAAGGATGTGCAAGGAGTTGGCATTGCTCAGACGGAAGTGCAAGTGTCCTGGCTCCTGTCCAGGGTTCTTCCTGGGGTCCTTACTGGACCTCAGCCTTTGTCTGCTTGGCACTTCCAGCACGCTCCCTGGCTGTGCTGTGAGAGTGAGTCAGCCATTAAAATCTTCCCTTGTCATTTATAAATGCAGATAACAGCTTTGACCTCCTTCCTTGGGGAGAGCTCACTAATAAACATTGTAAAGGAAGTGTTCTTCAGAGGCTGACTGGAAAGAGGGTGAAGTATCTCCTGTCTCTCAGGAGGAGATCCGACTTCAGTCAAGACTTCACACTCTCTGCAGCTCCCCGGACCTCACTCTTCAAGGGACGTCCCTTGCCCCCACCCTATAGCCATCACAGAGGTGTTACGAAATGCTCGAGTTTGCTTCCCAGAGGCTAGCTACAGTGTCACAAGGCTAAGACCCCTTTCCCCTCCCCACACATTCTGAATCTTTTCAAAATGGTGGCTGTGCCTGTGACATTCCTTGCTCCAAAGTCCCATGTGCATTTCCAGTTAGAAGACTTAGACCAGACCTTCTATTGGAGAGGCTTAGTTTTATCACTAAGCCAGAGAGGTATCCCACAAGGTACTTTATGGCGTTGGGCCAACAATTCTCCAGGGCACCTACTAATTCTCTCAGGCATCTCAGAAAACACCTCCAGCTCTGCTTAGAGGAGTTTGTGGGACAGCAGTGTGGGGAGCAGCTTCTCTGTGAGCAAGGGGCCAGCCAAGGGTCTGGTCAGAAAAAGCACAGTAGAAACCCTGAGGGCGAGGGAGTGGAAGGACCCCTCAAAATAGACATGGATTGCTCCATGCCCTCGATGACAGAATTTACTTTCTGCCAGAGAGACAAGAGCCTTGAGGGTAGGCTGGTAGGATGGGGCAGTAGGGCAAGTGCCCAAGTGGTCCAGGAGAGTACCCTCCCCCTTTCTTCCACTGTCCGTCTGCAGAGTCTAGAGCCATCCACACTCACACACACAAATTGGGGCCGTGTGGTGGGAGCTGACCATAAGCTTCAGTGAATGAATGTGAGTACTGTGGCTGCTGAAGACAGAAGAATGGCAGAGAGGAGGAAAGAGCAGACACAGTTTATGTGTGCCCGTGCCCACATGAACACAGCTCACGTGGTGGGCACTTACTCAGTAGCAGGCATGGTTGTGCCTTACTGTACAGTGGGTAGTTGTTGTCCCTGTTTTGTAGATGAGGGAAACTAAAGCACAAAGAGGTTATACCACTTTCCCAAAATTATACAACTTGACAACAGTTTCCTGTGTTGGTCAAGGGGGCTTGATAGGACCTGTCACAGCTGTGGGTCTTGACGATCAGAGGGATTTGTATAGTAAGGACATGAGCAGCTAATACTTAGGCCCTGGTCCCAGTGCTCTAAGAGAGCGACTCTTTTCATCTTTGCAACAACTCTGGGAGAGAGGTCCTATTATTCTCCCCACTTTACAGCTAAAACTGAGGCAAGTCACAGGGAGAAAAAGCCCAAAGAAACCCAAGTGTTTGAGCTGCAGAAGAGTGGCCTGGAGAGGCGCCTTCCCTTCTGCTGGGGCTGATTTCGGGCGGAAGGATGGGATACTTGGCCCAGTCAGCGGCACAATCAATTGTTCCATGATCCTTTCAGCTCTGCCAACCGTTCAGGACAGAGGTGACCCAGAGGGAGAAGGAAACAAGGAGCAACCTGAGCCATTTGCTCTCTATTTGCCTGGAACTAGGATGTCGTGACAAATTCATTCATGTGACAAATGTCTGTGGTGCTGATTTTGGTGTCTGGTAGGGCTGGGTGGTAAGAGGGAGGCTTTTCCCCTTCTAGCTCAAAGGACCATTTGTTGAGCAGCTATTATGTGATGAGCAAAAACGGACAGCATCTCCTTTACTCCATTTGCAAAAGCAAAGACTGAAACCAAGATGCAGGTAAGAAACTGACCTGGAGGCAAACATTTGGCCAGCACTTGAGCCCATCTGTCATCTATGGGACACATTGTCCCCAACCTCCTCAGAGTTCAGAGATGACTGGGCACCCCCACCTTCCTCCTTTGGCCTTCCTGTGTATTCATAGCTATCCCCCACCCCCTCCTCAGGAAATCCACACTAAGGTGGGTGGCTGTGGTTCAGGCTGGGTGGAACAAGGGCAAGAAGGGGCTGGGGGTGTGGAGCATGGAGAGGAGGTACAAGGTATTGCAGCGGGTGGTGGGTGTGTCCCCTACTTTGCAGAGGTGCTTCCTCCCTGCAGAGAGGGCTGCAGCAGGAAGGTGAATGCGGGGATCCCCAGACTCCGCAGTCTGGGGCGGGCAGGGGGCGCTGCGTTGGGCACGCGTGCCAGATGCCATGGCAACAGTATGGGGCTAACCCCCTCCCTTCCTCTAGCCCCAGCGGCAGCAACCTGCGAGGAAGCCTTCAGCCAAAGCTGCTGGCCAGCAGACTTGAGCCCAGAGGAAAGCGAGACCGGTGAAGGGCTGGGACCTTGGAACCTGCGAGTGATCGAGCAAGCGCACGCAGCCTCCTGCCCGCCTAACCTCCGCAGGGCTCACTCGCGCTAAGCGCTGAGCACAGAGGCAGGGGCGCTGGTGGGGCACCCCAGTGCCCAGAGGCTGCCCTTCAGTGCCTGTCTGCCCTGAGGGGCCTTCCTCGACTGCGGACTGTCCCGGAGCGGGCGGGAGTGGGCAGCATGGAGGGTGAGTGACCAGGGGGCTGAGGCGGGGGTGAGTGGGGCACTGGCTCAGGGGCGGGACAGAAAAGAGACTGGGATGTCTGGGCTGCGATGGCTGTCCAGAGTGACACTTAGGGTGTGTGTGTGTGTGTGTGTGAGAGAGAGAGAGAGAGAGAGAGAGAGAGAGAGAGAGAGAGAGAGAGAGAGACAGAGACAGAGACAGAAATAGTCAGGGGGAAAGACTCCCTGTACACAGGGCTCTGTACTGTGTGTGCATTTGAGTGAGCCAGAGCCAGAGCCAGAGCCAGAGAGGAAGAAGACTCCGGTGCCTCTGGGGTTAGATGTGCATGGGCAGACTGCCTCCTACCTGGGCAGAGGGTCTTTTGCAAACAGGTGAAGACAGCTGCGCTATTTGCTGTCTGCCTACTTGTGGGGTAGGGGTAGTGGAGGAGATGGAATTCTAAACAAGCTCCCTCTGTGGAGTGAGAATTTCTCTCCCTGAGGGAAAGGAAAGGAGCTATGGATGTTGCCTTCCAGATGCTTGTTCTTACCTTGCCAAGGAGGGGCTCAGGCCCCTCTATCAGCCAATGTGGGCAAGGGAACCACATTGTTCCCATAGTTAAGAAACTAGAAGGCCGAGAGTCAGTCCACTGTCGTGCTGGATGTCTTTGGGGTAGTATCTAAACTTCTCTGTGCCACTGGTTACCCATCTGTTGAATGCTAATGTTTAAGACAAAATGTGCATAAATTCATTCCAGAGAGAAGACTACTTCAGGGGGTCATAAATCCCTGAAATTCTAAATAATTGCAGACACTGCTGGTAAAAAAGAAAGGGGAGTTTTACAGAACATCTTGTGAGAATGCTCGTGGAGCTTTTCAATGAGCTGGGTTTGAAAAGCGCACATACCACGCCTGCAACAAGGAATGCATAACCCAACATGAATCTGGAAGATTCGTAAGATCTGTAAAACAGTGTTAGCAAAGCACCAAGGCAAGGTCAGAATGAAGAGAAACCAGGAAAATTGGCAAAGACAGAGCACAGAGCTTCAAAGTCTGAGGAAGACTAATCAGAAGGAATTTGCTTGGGACTGGGGTTATGTGGCAAAGGGAGGAGAGGCAGAGCTGGGCACAGGCCACTTTACTTCAAATGGAAGAATGGAGCATAAGGAGGAAATTGCAACCCAAGATAGTGATAGGAAGAAGGGTGAGCTCACTGAAGCCACCTACAATGAGCTCACCCTGCCAAGCCCAGACAAATGACATCCCAGGGACCCAGAGACACTTGCAGATATAATCACAGAGGAAATTACAGCAAATGAAAGAAGTGCCAGAGAAGTGAAGATGGCAAATGTCCTGCCTTTTTTTTTTTAAGATGTATTTATGCATACAGAGCTGTGATATAGGCCAGAGGTGCAGGAGTAGTGAGAGGATTTACTAGAGACAACGTCCTGTTTTTTAAAAGGGAAGGAATGCTAGATTTAAAAAACAGCTCTAAACAGCTAAGATTAATCTTGGTCTCTATTAATATTCTAGAATAAATTATGAAACACACTGAACTCTTAAGAAACAATAAAGCAATCACATCTTGGGATTTTTTTCAAAGGATTTGCAAAGATATGTGCATAACCATTGTCCTCACTTGCAAAACTGGAAACCATCTAGGTCCATAAATTAAGTAAACTAGTAAATGATGAGACACTTTTGCAGCAGTTTACTATCCAGACATTAAAACTGTTTTAGGGTTTTGTTTATTGCATGTGATTATGCCCAGGGTCTGCTGTGAACATGAACTGTGCAAAATTAATAAGCTTATCATTGGGCATATATGTAAAATATATGCAAAGGGCTGGTCAGTAACATCTTTGTCTGAGGTCTCCTGCTTCTGAAAGCAAGCCCTAACCCAAGGACTGGGCCCAGGAAGTTTATTTGGGGGGTGATGCTGGGAATCAGAAGTCAGGAAGTGAGATTGGAAAGGGGGAAAGGCAAGAAATGGGTGCATGCATGAACTGTGTTTGTTGTGGGCCACTGGGGTATTCTAGCCCTTTGTGGAGCCTCTGAAAACAGTACAGAAAGCACTGAGCTATGCTCTAGCTGAGATGGGCAGAGGGCTGCGCTTTGCTCTCTGTTGATTAAAGGTTGTCTTACTCCCACATTTCTAGGTGGTTCTTACTTGTGATTTCAAAGAAAACAAGGCAGAGAAATTCCTGCAAAAAGAGCTGACTTTTTGGGGTATTGGCAGCACATGAACTGACCAACCCAGTCAGAATTCTTGGATTGAGGTGGGTGGCAGGCATCATCAAAAAATGGGTGAGATTTCGGTGATAGTCACACTCTTCTTTGGTAGTGCTCAGAACTGTTTTTATTATAAGCACAAGTGTTTTCTACAAAAACGAAAACTGTCAGAAAGAAAATAATATAGTACTCATGGGGAAGCTCCGTTAGTCCTCACTAAGAACAAATCAGGATAAACCTACTGAATTTCCCCTTTCAGATTGAAAGGCAAAAATGTGAACAGTGAGATCTCAGTAGAACACTGCAAAGTTTTCTCATGAAAGCTCTGAGTGAGACCTGGTGTAGAGATATGGGAATGGCCTGGGGGACTGGCAAAGGGCCTTTCAGAAAGGCTTGAAGGCAGTGTTGTGGACCTTTGGATTCTTGTCTGGACATGCCAGTAAATGATTCAGCAGAAAGTAGAAGGCTGGCTGCTCAAATCTGGCTGAGACCGCTAACACCCGTGTGACAACACATTTGAGATTTAAGGCTGCTCAGCCTACTAGAACGATGGCTAAAACCAAGAATGTGAACTGTAAGTAAAATGTAAAATGCTGAATTTAGGTTCAAAAAATATCAGCCGCACAAATTTAAAATGGGGGACATCTGGCTTGTATTGTTGGGGAAAATGACTGAGAGGTCAAATGGACTGACCATGGGAGGGACCTAGAATTCCTCTAGTTGAAGAACCCCTGAGATGTTCAAGGGGAGAAAAGGAGGGGAGAGAGGGGTGACTCTGGGGAGAGGGGCTCACTCTTGTCCTGTGTGGTTTTGGGGCCCAGAACTGGGACAGGTGGAGGGCAAGAAAGACAATTCAGCTCATCGGAAAACGCCCATCACTCAGAGCCGCCCTAGAATCTGACTTGAGCCGGTTTTCAACCTCCAGCTGGAGTAAGGGCAGCTGCCCTGTCCCACAGAGCAGGGACTGGAGGGATTCCTGGATGGTTGGTTGGATGGAAAACATGGCCTGGCAGGGTCGCCCTGAGAGCTTCTGCACCTTCTCTCAACATCTGCAAACGGAGAGGAAACACAGTGGGAGAGCATTAGGTGACAAGATAAGCAGAGTTTATTTGCGCTCTTGGGTGAGACTCAGGGACTCAGAAGAGGGAGTCCAAGAAGTTGTGCCCCAGAGCAGGGTAGGGGGGTTTTTAATGCTCCTAGATGAGAGTGAAGAATTGGTTTTTGGAGAAGTACAGTTCCAGGAGTTGTTTGTGCCATTACTGTCCATACAATGGAGTCCCTTCCATCAAATGCCCACACCCAGTTACAGGTGCCTGGGGGTATAGATACTGAAATCTGGGTTCCCAGACCCTGAGGCCTAACACAAACAAACCACCGGCCTTTTGCAAAGCCTCCTACAGAATTGCTGTACTCCTGTCCATTAGTCCTCAGCAGGCCCTCCCACCACTCCCCAGGACCTAGACTGACCTGCTGTGTGGTTATGTTACAAGGCAGGCAGAGAGGGGCACCCCTGAGCCCCCAAACCTGCCTGCTCTAGATAGGTCTGCCATCCACCGCATTGAGACAAAACATATGACTTTAATGAAAAGGAACTTTAATACAGTGAGTATACAATACAGAAGACAAAGAATATAATTTCTAAATCCAAACCCTTAAGTTACCCATCCCCTCGTGGGTAAAAGTCCACCCAAAAGGGACTGGCCCAAAGCAAGGCTGAAAGCCCGCCACAAGCCTAAAGCACCTTCTGGCCGGGACCCATAGAAAAGGTTCAGAAATGGCCAGACAAGTCTGGGAGGAAAAGAGCAAAATCAAAATCAATATAAACACCGCCACAGTCAACCTCCCCACGGGTCTCTCACCCACATTTCTTTCAACCAGTCCAGGGCCCAAAAAAAATAGTTTCTTCACATGTCTCCCTTTGCTCCATGTGACTTACTCAGGTCTCCTGGTTCTCCATCCTGCTTCCTCCCCCCTCAGATTCCTTCTCTTCTCTTCTTTTCTCTGCTCAGCTCCACTTTCCTCCTGGGTGGGGCAGGGAACCTGGAACTTCCCCTTTTCCTGGGGACCACCCTGTTACAGTTGGCAGCAGAGGATACAAGTCAGCCTCACTACCTGCCCCCACCCCTATTACAGGGTACCCCAATGTGAATTGGGTTGCGTCTGTGGGTCTTCACCAGTGTGCTTACGATTCAATCGTATTATGGACACACTCAAAAAGGTTAAATAATGGATTTATTTATAAGGAGAAAGGTAAAGGAATAACCCAGGGAAAGAGGGAGAGAAACACAGGTTAACTAGGATGTCCTACCAGTCCTGCTGACTTGGACTCCACCAGCCAGATGAAAACCAATTGAGAGCCAAAACGGTCAGCTGCGAACCAAACCACCAGGTCCCCCCAGAGCACACTAGTCCGGTTTTATCCCAACCTGGCTGCTCAGCTCCGCCCTCACGTCCCTGCGTGCTTCTTCTTGGTACTGATGGGATTTGGAGTTCCAGCATCTAGAGTAGGGGCGGAGTCCATGAAACCTGTACCTGTTACACCCCCACTCCAGGGTACTGGCTCCTGTGGAGCCCTGAGAGCACTGTGGCCAGGAGTTCAGTGCAGGTGCTACTGGAAGTGGGGGTACCTGGGGGGAAGTCGCTCACGCAGGAGAAGAGGTCACTAAATGAGGAGAAAGAAGGAGCAAACCCGCTGGTCTCTAGCACAGGACACAGGGCATTTTGGAGGACCAAGCAGGTTTTCCATGCCCCCAGGAATGCTGCCACAAAAATATAGCTATAATAAAGTAAAAA